TGAGGGTCGCCCAACCCTCGGGCCAATTGTCACGGTGGTTGGAAGTCCTCCAGGACTATCAATTTACGACCACTTACCGTAAGGGGTTGCGCCACACCAACGCGGATGCCCTGTCGCGGTTGTCGCCTTGTCCCGAATGTGCGTGCTTGATGGGGTTGGCGCGCTGTAAACTGCCAGGTGCTGTACCTGAGAGTGAGTTGGTCGCAGCCGCGAATGCGCCGATGGTTGACGTTCCCGCTACCCCTGCGGGCGGGGACTCGCTACTCTCACTGTCTCTCGTTGAGTGGGGCCGACTCCAGATGGCTGACAGCTCCCTGCTCGCGTTGCGTCGCAGGGCGGGGGGTCCCGAGGAGGGTCGAAAGCGAGCTGGCTCCTGGCTGCTCAAGCAGGGACTGCTAATGAGATGGGACAATATGTCCCGGCGGCACGCACTCGTCGTGCCTTCCGCTATGCGGGGCAAAGTTGTTCTGGCCGCACATGAACGCCTCTTGCATCTGGGGGTAAACAAAACGCTTGCTCTGCTCCAGCGTGACTATTATTGGCCGGGGATGGGGAGCGATGTGGTCAATATACTGAAGGGGTGTGTGGATTGCGCCAAACGGAAGCCACCGCCCGTTGCGCCAAATCCACCGCTGCAGTCTATTCAGGTCTCGCGCACTAACGAGCTCGTTGCGCTGGATATTTTGGGGCCTTTTCCTGTCACGCCTAGGGGTAACAAGTACCTGTTGGTTGGTGTGGAATACTTTACCCGATGGCCTATGGCGTGGCCACTCGCCAACCAGTCGGCGGCGGCCGTGGCGGACGCCTTTGTCCAGGGCTACGTCTTGGACAAGGGGGCTCCCGAACGCTTGCTGACCGACCAGGGAAATAATTTTTCGAGTAAATTGCTGCAGGAGGTGTGTGGCCTTTTGGGTACTAAAAAGGTGCGTACCTCCCCATACCACCCACAGACTGACGGGATGGTGGAGCGACTCCACAGGACTTTAACTTCCATGTTGTGCCAGCAGGTGTGCGAGGCACAGGTTGACTGGGACTTGCAGGTCCCGGGGGTCCTCGCCGCGTATAGAATGGCCCCCCATGCAGCTACGGGGTTCTCCCAATTTGATCTGATGTACGGTCGGGAGGCCGATCCGTCCATGGAGACTCAGCTGGGACTTTCCGTGCCACGGCTTAATTCCAAATTGGCCGATCATATTAAATTTAACATTGCAAAACTCGCCGAGGCACGGGAGGTCGCACGGCTTAATTCGAGATCTCGGCAAATCGCCAACGAGCGCTTGCGTGCACGGAAGGTATCCATGCACGATTGGAAACCGGGCGATAGGGCCTGGCTGCACTGCCCTCATGCACCTTTGGCTACGTCGCCTAAATTGTTGAGGCCATGGCGGGGACCCGTGGAGGTCGTGCGGGTTGCACGCCCCCAGTGTGTTCAGATAAAATGGGGAAAGCGCTGTTGGTACGTTCACCCCTCCCGGCTGAAACCGTTCTCGCCTCCATATGGCCTTCCTTTGTGTCGTGAGGACCGAGCATGGGATGTGACCGACGACCCGGGGAGGGAAATGTCTCCGCCTGATCCTCACATGTTTTCGCCTGATCTGCTCCCAGGTGTCTCGGAACTGACGGCTGCCGACCACCGGCGACCGGATCCCCGCGACACGGCCGGTCCTTCCAGGGCCGAACCGTGCCTTCCGGGGCTGCCGGAGCCACCAGACGGTCGTCAGCGTCCCGTCCCGTACGATGGACCGGCCAGGCGGACTCGCGCTAAGTCGCGCCACTTTTCCTGACCAATGAATGAGGTGGAGGTGCGGTGTGAGTCGGCCGGCTCGTCTTGTCACGGCGTTCCCCGTCCGTTCGACCGCTCTATCGTTCCGTTCAATGAGCAAGCGGGAGGGGGATCGGGCGTCGAGGAGACACGGGACACGTCGGTCTTTTCGAAATAACTTTTATTCGGTTACTCGTCGGTTTGTACATAGTTCGTTCTTGTTACTAGTTAACGTTCAGGTGTTGTGTTGTTGTGTTGTGTTGTTGTGTTGTGTTGCTGTGTTGCATTGTGGTTAATGTTACGGGGCACACTTGGAGAGTGGGGTTTTTTTTTGGGTTTTTGGCAGCCGGGCCGGCTGCGAGCTATGTGGGAGGGGGTGATGTAGTGGTGATACGCGCTGGCAGTAGGGATCTTGTGGCAGCGCGTGGTGATTGGCTGTGTGTCGGTGACGCGCGCTGACAGTGAGGGATCATAGGGCAGCGCGGGGTCATGGGTTATGTGGTGGTGATTGGCTGTGTGTTGGTGACGCGCGCTGACAGGGAGGGATCGTGTGGCAGCGCGGGGTGATTGGTTGTGTGGTGGTAACACGCGCTGGGAAAACGGATCGTGTGGCAGCGCGTCGTGATTGGTCAACTAGAGTGGGTGCTCACATCGCGGTCCGCATAGGCTCCGTCTCCTCGGGAGCGGAGGACTATAAAAGGCGGTGCGCGCGGGCGCTCGGGGAGTTGGTGACCAGTGAAGACGGAGGAGGAAGAGATAGGGCCCTGAGACCCCTAGTCCCGCTGTCCTTGTAAGGGCCAGGACCCTGTGTGGCTCAGAGGCGGGACCTTGGGACCCGGGGCCGGACGTCCGTGTGAGGGCCGGGCCACGGGACCCAGTGGTCGTAACCCATACCCAAGCTGGGGTGGGTCTGTAGGTTCCCCTGGAAGCTACGGGGCTGGAGAGCCCGTGAGCTGTAGTGACCACACGTGTCAGGTGGAACGTGTAGCGTGAGCTGTAGTGACCACACGTGTTATTGTGGCTAAGGAAGAGCTGTAGTTGTCCACACGTGTTATTGTGGCTAAGGAAGAGTTAATAAAGTGTGCTACCCGTCAAGTGGTCTCCCGCCGTAATTTACAATACTACATTTGTAACGCACCCGCGCCATTCGTTGTGTGCCACCCACACAAAAAAAGGAACACAGGCCTGCAGCAAATCGCACAGCGCAGAGGCGAAATACACACAGTGGCGTACAACGTGATGTCCATACAGAGACGCAGTGCGCCTTGTCCCACCAGCTACCCACACACACGTACGTTACCTACAACTGCGTTTCCGAGACCACAAAATCAATCACCCTTAATGAATAGTAATTTTGCACGTCATATTTCATACTTCTTGAGCATTTTTAACACGATCTCTTTAATCAAATCACACAAACACACTTGCTTAAATATGTGTGGGTGTGCGTGTGTTAGATTCTCTCCAAGGTGAACTGTTTTTATGTGAGGTCAAGAGGTTGGCGACCTAGAGTGCCATCCGCATACCTGTCAACCCATACGGTTTACCCCGTATTCTTGTACATGGAAATTTAGTTTTTAGGTCTATACGGCGTACAGCCGTTTCAATAGGGCAACAAAAACTTTGTCTATTTGTTTGTGTTTCTCCCTTGTGATGGGACTTTGTAGGATGAACGTTGAGATTTATAAGAGCACGGGATGACCAATAAGGTCTGATTTGGCCTGTAATAAGGTAGGGCACTGACAAGGGGTTGACAGGTATACTGTACACTACACTACTATACACTGACAAGGGGTTGACAGGTATACTGTACACTACACTACTATACACTGACAAGGGGTTGACAGGTATACTGTACACTACACTACTGTACACTGACAAGGGGTTGACAGGTATACTGTACACTACACTACTATACACTGACAAGGGGTTGACAGGTATACTGTACACTACACTACTATACACTGAGAAGGGGTTGACAGGTATACTGTACACTACACTACTATACACTGACAAGGGGTTGACAGGTATGCTGTACACTACACTACTATACACTGACAAGGGGTTGACAGGTATACTGTACACTACACTACTGTACACTGACAAGGGGTTGACAGGTATACTGTACACTACACTACTATACACTGACAAGGGGTTGACAGGTATACTGTACACTACACTACTATACACTGACAAGGGGTTGACAGGTATACTGTACACTACACTACTATACACTGACAAGGGGTTGACAGGTATACTGTACACTACACTACTATACACTGACAAGGGGTTGACAGGTATACTGTACACTACACTACTATACACTGACAAGGGGTTGACAGGTATACTGTACACTACACTACTATACACTGACAAGGGGTTGACAGGTATACTGTACACTACACTACTATACACTGACAAGGGGTTGACAGGTATGCATCCGTGTTGGGCCTCCGTTGTCACTTCCGTACCCCTCGGCACGATTCCGCGTCGGGGGGGGACGCCGCCTCGTGATTTCACGAAGCTGCTCCCACTTTCCTCCCGCTGCAGCCCATTTCCACCGTAAGGACCAGAAGTTTTATTTATTTCTCACTGATTTGCTTGTTCATCCGGGAAGGCCTACATTTAGTCTCAATGACCGTTGGGGGGGCGGGGGAGTTCTTGAAAAGTCGCATTTGTGTAGGGGGAGAGGGGGGGGCGGCGATGTTGCTGCTGCTGTGTGATCTCAGCTGAGTAACTTGCAGGTAACATTTTTTCAGCATTTGGGATGTTTGGCCAATATCATTTGCTTTTAGCTATGGAGGCGGAGGGCTTGGGAATAGGAGAGCCCCGAGGAAATCACTGCAGAAGAGGGGGGAGAGGTGAAAGAGAGAGGATAACACACACTACACACGGGGAGTGTGTAAACACAGGGGGAAGTTGCCTAGTCAGGGGGGGGGATCGAACTCGGGCCCTTTCTCGCTTTTGAGTTTGCGGGCGTTACGACTGCATCCACCCCTGCCACCCAAAAGAGTTGTGGGAGGCTGCGCTGCCCTGAGTCGCAGAGGTGGTCCGAAGTGGATCCCAACCAAAACCATGGGAGCTGGCTGAGTGCCTCGGATGTGTAGGATCACTGAGGTCCTGGGCTTGAATCCCCGGTCTCAGCCGCCTGCAATTAAACCAGGTTGTCCAGCGGAGCGAGTGAGCTGATGGTCTCAGTCTGGTGACCAATAGCACAACAACAAACCCCATAATATGGGTCCTCGCTCGATGTTTGATAAGTTCCAGTTCTAAAGTTCAACACGTAGCCTTTCACGACCAATATTATTCATAATAGTGGGGTTTTATTGGGTTAGATCGCGTAAACATAAACGTATTGTTAAATCCGCCACCACGACACAGCCAATAAGTAAGGGGTTTATCACGGAAACAGAACGTGGCCAATAGTTACTAGTTCAGCATACCGGTGTATTGGAGAGGAAACCCACTACAACAATGACATATTCTTGGGTCTTTCGGTAAAGTCACGTAAATAGGGTCAAGAAAATAACAAAAAATAAACTACGACGTTTCGGTCGCAACACAAGCGGTCGTCTTCAGGAAAGTGTAGTATATAGTAATGTAGTGTATAGTGTAGTATCCAAATTCAGCACACCGGTGTGTTGGAGAGTAAACCCACTACAACAATTCCAATTATAGTATAGTGTATAGTAATGTAGTATATAGTGTAGTGAATAGTGTAGTATACTAGTTCAGCACACCGGTGTGCTGGAGAGTAAACCCACAATAACATTTACAATTCGAGTACTGTGATGTTTCCCCGGTAATTACAACCAGCCTCAGTCGGCGACAGCCAGGATTGTGGAGAAATTCTCCCCCTGTTTCGGTCTAAAAATGTTTAGTTTGACCATGTGACAAACTTTATTCTCATGTGGCAGAGCGGGTGGGAAAGTGCTCTCCTCCACTGTGTGTACAGCGCAGAGGTCACTTGAAGAAGTAGCTCTATGACATCCGCTTCTGTAGGGGGGGTGGCACTGCCCTGTGACGTTTACGAATTATTCTTCGACTCATGAATACGTGACACCGATCGCAAAACTGGGATAAAAATGTGGAATTGTGCTCAATTGCACAAATTCAGCCGTGGGTTCATCCCCCAGCAGTCTCTGAAATTTAATGTGCAACGTACATAGAGTATATATATAGAGTCCTAAATATCCGATGTGAACTATTACATTGCGCACGCCATTTTTCATTGGCGATTCAGTGGATCCTGTTGGTACATTGGCAGGTCGCGGGGCAGTGCGTCATCGTATACTGGCCAAAGAAGGTCGTCCCACAGCCCAGTATCATCTTCATCAGCCAGCAGTTGATGTAATTGTCCAAGTACGGACACGGGTTCGCTAGAAATGGGGGGGGGATGAGAGAAGATAATTTTCGTTGACGCACCACGTGCAGGAAGAACACGGTGATATACAGAATCACCGCACGGCTACCACGCCAGGTCGTGCTAAGCAAGGCCATCAATTGAAAGGCATTACCACACAACAGCAGCAGCAGCATGTAACTCCACGGTGAGTCTGCGATCGGCAGGTCGTGTCTGGCCGGGGGTCAAGTGTGGGTACTCCCACAGCTTCCAAGAACGTGTTGTTTGCCATGCGTGAAAGAGAAGGCCAAGTATACCCTCCGGAGGGGGGGGGGGGGGCTCTTCTCTTGAGCTATCTCTAGCAGGCGGGGCGACACATTCGCCCGCAGCGGTGAGCGTGTAGTTGCAGGGATGCGCCTGTACCTCTCGCTCTACCGTGTTTGCGTGTTTGCCGGTGACGTGGGGAAGGCACTCACTGCACAGTTTGTCGTCGCAGTCGTTGGGGCAGTCCTGGCAGGACGGGCCCTCGTTGTACGGCTTTGTGAGCCGGTTGTTCCAGTTCCCACTGTGTGGCACAAAGATAAAAAAAAGACAAAGATCCCCCGTGTAGCCTTAACGGACTGTGGGGGCAAGTGCTGTTAGCGAGTAGCGCCTATGAAGGCCGGCACGGCACGCGAGAGGATGGGTGGCCAGCACCAAGCCCGACCGCCTTTGTCTCCCCAATGGCCATGTTTACACACCGCACCCAGGTAGTTATTTGAGGCCGAGTCGACCTAGGGTAGGCCCATGACCGGTTCAGGTAATCGTCACTGGTTTTGGCCGTGAGCGGGAATCGTACTCGTGTCGCCGGGCTCGTAGCGGAGCACGCTAACCGCTACACTACCGCTCCCCGCTGTGTGGCACACACACACACACGCCTTACTCTGTTATTATTATTTGTATTGTAGCAGCAGCAGCAGCAATAATATTGAGTTGTGTTTAGTAGACGCTGCCCTGATTTACGCTGGGGGGTAATCGGCATTCCGGAAAAACGACCCGCGTCGCTTGTCATGTCGACGCGTTTGTAAGGGGGCGCCCCCAGTGGCAGCTGTCCCCGTGCGACGCGATGTGAGTCGACCACCTTGCCTCTTGCAGTGGTAATTCGTGTCGCGAGAAATGGGGGGGGGGGGGGGGGTGATGGCTGCTGTGTGATTCCCAATTGAGTAATTTTCAGACCACGACGCCGGCACGCAGTGGCCCTATTTGTATCGACTTACGTCGGAGGGATCTACGGAACGGTTTACGTGGAGCAGACGTTGCCGTACGTAGCCTTTATGAGGGTGAACACACCTGCAGTAATAGCCGAAATCTTGACACCTGCTGCTGTATATTTGGTGTTTGTGAGTCTCTCTCTCTCCCCGTGGTCGCGTGGATTTTTTTCTCCGGGTCGTCCGGTTTTTCTCTCCACATTGAGAAATATGCATTGAGATTATTTAGATTATTTTGGAGCTATAAATGTCCAAATAATGGGCCACTTTGTTCAGCTATAATTTTTGGTTTCCAGGTCACTTCTGAAAAATAAGTTAATACCTCGGTGGGATGGAGACGGTTTAGTGTTGTATTCGTTTGTGTTTGGGTGGTTTGTTTACCTTTGTTGTACTTTGCACTACGATCGTGTTTTGTACTGTTTGTTGTTATAACGTTCTGGACATCTATGAAAAAGAGCTTCATGGCTCATCGGATTCCTCCTGCAGTGTAAAGACAGATTCTGATTCTGAAACTACTGAACGTCGCATACTGGCGACGAACGCGCGATCACTGTCGCTGCACCGAGCTTTCGAAGGCTCGTCAAGAGATGTGTTGTCCTGGACCGCAGAGCGTTGAACCAACTTGCGAGTGAACCCAAAACGACGCGCACTCTTGAAGGCGCTCTCCCAGTGCGTGGCGCGACGACGTCGGCGCGTCGTGCCGAAAGGAACGCGTGCGCGGCACAACAGCCGAACGCACGTGGGAGAAACGCGCGCATGGCAGCAGCGGCAGCAGCGGCAGCAGCAGCACGACCGCGAACATCCACGCAGTCGCAGTGCGTTGAATATAGAGGGCGCAGCTTACATAGGGCGGTACTCGCAGAGGTACATGTACTTGTACTCTTTCTCCGGGCAGTAGTTGATGGCACATCCCACTTGGTAGGTGCTGTACCAAATGACCTGTAACGCACGACGGACAAGATTACGCGACGTTATTCATTCAGTTCCGAGGAAGCCGTCGTAAAATCGGGGGCAAAACACTTTGTGCGAGAGAACGGTCCTCTGGGAAGTGGACATCGCAAAGCTACCTCTGAGATCCCTTCGTCGAGTGACCTCTGCTCCGCGCTGGTGGTTTCCGACACACTGCTGGGGAGCGATGCCCGTCGTGTAATGTTCAAACCGATATTCACAGTTCTCAGAGCTGGACTTCGGAGAAGTTAAGTGCCGAACCAAATTTGTTGTGATGGTGACCTGGCTGGAACCATCAACCCACTGCACTTGACAATCCAGCTGAACTATGAACTGGCATCCAGAAATTGAACCCAGCATCTTAGCAGTGCCGGCTCGGTGGTCTGACCTCTGAGCCACCCAGCCACGAACATCACAGGTACTCAACGTTGACAGTAAATTGTACTTCGTGTGGATAAATTCCAGCTCTTGACAAATTAACGTATCGGTCTGACTGTCAAGCGGCGGACATTACCGTCACATGCAGAGTGGGTGCGGTAATGTGTTCTCCACTCAGTAGAAAAAAGGTCACTTAAGGAAGTGATGCCAGAGGTAGCTCTGTGATATCCACTTCCATTGGCCATTCATCAACACAAAGGGGTGTAACTGCTGCTGTGTGAAAGATCCAAATGAAAAAATGACAGCAACGTAATGCAGTATAATAATAATTATTGTACTTGATTACCCAGTAGAGCCTCAGTAAGCCTCGATACTAACTCGCTGACCCCGTGCCCCTGACAGGACATCTGTGAAAAGAGCTTCATAGCTCGTCGGATTCCTCCCTCCAGTCTAAATGTAGATTTCTGATTCTGAAGACTTTTCCGGAGGGTCCTGCCATATGTTCAGAGAGGAAGGCCGATGTTGCTCTGCGTGTGATCCCAATTGAGTAGTTTGCAGGTAAAAAACAATAGTTTTCAGCTTGGCAATATTTGGCAAATAGCAGTTTCCGCTGTGCGTGTTTTTGTTCTAGCGCTGCGCTACAAACACAGCAACCCGAGTTCGATTCCCGCTCATGGCCAACACCAGTGACGATTACCTGAATCGGTTCTGGGCCTCTCCTAGGTTGACTCAGCCTCAAATGAGTACCTGGTGCGGTATATAAACATCGCCACTGATGAGACAAAGGCGGTCGGGTGTGGTGCTGGCTACCTGCCCCCTCGTGTGCCATGCCGGCCTTTATAGGTGCTCGCTAACAGCACTTGCCACAGACAGTCTGTTAAGGCTAAACGGAGGATCTTTATTTGAGCTCTGTAGGGAGGAAACCCACGCAGAACCGGGCGGGAGAGAGCATACAGACTCCACGTAAAGAGGCACCCGAGTCAGGAATCCAACCCATGCATATATTGCTGTAAGGCACAAGCATTGCCACTTCGCTATCACCAGCCTGCCAGCACCAACGAAATAAACAACACCAAAAAAACAACGTATTTTAATTATTTTTGTCAGGTCCGCCTGCCGCGGGTTTACCTGCGTGTAATGTCCCACTATTCCAGGGTTCCGCAGCCCCTTCCCGTAGTCGAATCCTGGATTGTTGACCTCGTCGACCCAGACCTTGATTGCCTCGTCCCACGGATAAAGTGTATTGGAAAATAGTATGTTCTCACCGGACGGTATTCCTGTGTAAACACAACATCATCATCATCGCCACCATCATCATCATCCGTGGTGTATATCCGTGGCTGGAGGACTCCAAGCTGTTTCGCCCTCGTCCCCACGATGACTGCGATGCGCAACGATCCCGCGTCGCAACCTCGGCGAGCGAGACAATTTCGTCGCTCAATTTTTTCCCGCGGTGAACGATCCTCTCGGACACGCTCTGCCCCCTTGGCTCCAGCCGCTGTTAGTCTGCGTCGCTGTTAGTCTTCGTCGCTGTTAGTCTAACACTTCCTGCACACAATCCCACTCGCTTTTCTTTTTCGGTTTGTTTCACTCTTACGTGTCTTTCATTTGTAAGTGGGAAAGGGTTGGAATAAAACACATGCCTTATGGTGTCTCTCCAATGTACACACAAAGGCGGAGACGTTGTAAATATATAAATGTGTCGTTATACCTGCCACGACCCAACGCAGCCAATTAGTAAGGTTTGTCACGTAAACAGAACATGCCAATTCGTTACGAGTACAGCACATCGGTTGTGTGTTGGAGACCCAAGCCACCATCATTTACAATCTGAGTACGACGTTTCACCAGTAATTACAACTAGCTTCAAGTCCACCTGTTTCCTATCCTCAAATAGCGGCGTAGAAGCAATGGCGTCGCTTGTGCGCTCTTTTTGCGTCGAACCGAACTCAAAGGGCATCTTCTTGGGATCGTCGTCAAGTTATTGGAGGCCACATACTCGGGGGGCGGGGGGCGCGCCCCCTTCCCCCCCCGGTGGTGCGGCTGCACTCTTACCGTCGAAATCCAGCTGCTCGGTGGTCCTGTGGAAAAAGTTGCAGGTTTGGACCCATTCCAGGGCTGAAGCCTGCGCAGCTGTACTCCATTCCTGAGTGGGGGGGGGGGGCACAGATAGATCGTCACCGTCTTCATCACTATCGCTGCTTAATACAGATTGCTTCAAAAATTGTTTTAACACTTACATGGGACTCTCGTTTTTTAATGGACAAAGAACGGATAATACATTAACATGGTAACAAATGTACGTGAATAGCTTCAGAAAGTTAAAGAGACTCCACTTGTTCGCCATCATTGTCAACGCTGCCTCGTGTTACTGCTGCCGCCGCTGCCATTCGCTTGATTGTGTGAAAAACACCATTTAAAGATGTTATTTGCTAATTTTGCAATAAAAAAAATCGAACATTTCATCTCCGACGTTAATTTCTAACTTTGAAAAAATATATTGATGACTGCCTCTTTGTATATACACCGTGCACTATCCTTGCTATATACATGCATTTAATCTTGATTTGAAGCTTTTGTGACTGCAGAAATCCATACTCTTTGTTTTTTTCGGTAAAGTCACGTAGGTATAAAATAAAATAAATCACGACGTTTCGGGCGCAGCACAAGCGTCCGTCATCAGGTGGGAAAGCATGGCCTACTGCTGATGCAGACTGTTTTAAAGGTTTGAAATGGGTGTAGCCCAAGGGTTATAAAGGAGTGGCTTGGTCTAGTGATGTTAATGTGAGATATTAGCATGTAACTGGGTACGGAAGTGGCTATGTTAATGTGAGAGATTAGCATGATTTTAAAGTGAGAAATTAGCATGTAACTGGGCACGGAAGTAGCTATGATATGTGAGAGATCAGCATGATGTTAAAGTGAGAAATTAGCATGTAACTGGGCACGGAAGTAGCTATGAAAATGTGAGAGAATAGCATGAAATAACAGCTGACATAGGCAGGTAGGATGGAAACATCACAGTTAGTTAAGACTTTACCTGGTTAATAACGTCCTTCCAATGACTGCTCAGTTTGTACCCATCTCGGTTGAAGTTATGTCTTTGTTTATATGTCTGGATGGCTTCATGAACAAATCTCTGAAGGTAGCCGGTAGGTTTGCAGAGTACCTCCGTCTTGGAAAAATCTATTTCGTGAGCCCACAGCGTTAAAACAATGATCGGCAACGGCCGATGTATTGGTCCTACCGTGTTTCAGATCTGCCTTACTTGTTACACTGGTAAAGAATACAGGTTTACCAAAAGATATTCCGAAACTAGCTGATCATTGTTTAAATAACACTTACTTCTTATGGAGAGGCGATTTCTTTAAACAAAGGGAAGGAGCCGCAATGGGCTCTCCTTTATCTCCTGCTATAGCCAATCTGTACATGGAGAACTTTGAAACAATAGCACTTGCCTCGAGTACATTAAAACCCTCCTTTTGGTTTAGATATGTTGATGACACTTTGGTTGTCTGGCCACATGGTAAAGATGCACTTAATGATTTTCTAAATCATCTCAATGCACAAAACCCGGCTATCCAGTTCACCATGGAAATGGAGGTAAATAACAGACTCCCGTTCCTAGATATTTTGCTGGGACATGGTCTTAATAGCAAAATAACACGGCGTTTACCGAAAGCAAACGCACACTGATGCCTATCTGAATGCAGATTCACATCATCACCCAGCTCAGAAATCGTCTCTTATCAAAACACTCATACATCGGGCAAAAACAGTGTTAGATGGTGAGAGTCTAGTGAGAGAGATGAAACATGTTAAAGAAGCACTAAGACAGAATGGCTACAATAATGCTCAAATCAACAGGACACTGAAGGCCAAATCACGAACGCAAAGCAACACTGTTGAAAGCGATAAGATTGTTCAAACAATCAAAATACCATACATCTCAGGAGTAACTGACAAATTAGCCCGGGTTTTGCAAAAGCAAAACATTAAAGTAAGATTTTGTACAGTGCACAAAATTCAAAAACTGGTGTCTGGCACTAAAAACGAATTTCCTAAATTATCAACAGAAGGTGTATACCGGATTAATTGTTTATGAGGCAGAAACTATATTGGACAGACGGGACGTAACATCAGCGTAAGATTAAAAGAACACCAAAGAAACATTAAATTATCTCAAATACAACTGTCGGCAGTGGCAGAGCATGCTTATCAACAAGGGCACTCAATTGATTTTGATAACGTTGAAGTGTTGTGTAAAACTAATTATTACTGGCCAAGACTAATTAGAGAATCCATTGAAATTGAGAGAAACAGAAATAACTTCAATCGCTCTGACAGCTACAGGCTTAGTGCGGCCTGGAAGCGTATTATTAAATAAATACAATTACAATTCCTTATAAGGGAAACAAACACCAATGAATAACAATTGAATTATTACCAATCTATATAAAATCTATATAATTACAATACCCTCCCCCTCTTTGCCTCGAATCACTGCACCAGATTAAATTGAATTAAATTATTACGTCACCCTGATGCTGCTCTATTTAAGACCGGAAGCAACAGGAGAGCTTCACCATTCTTGCCCGATGAAGCTAATTTTAATTATCAGCGAAAAGTCGTACTCAAATTTTAAATGCTGTTGATTCTCTCTTCAGCACACCGGTGGGCTAAAGAAGTGAATTATTTTGTCCTTTGAAAAACGTGACACATTTTTTACTATTTGGCCGTGTCGGGTGGTGGAGGGTTACGACACATTTATAAATAACGCGATCTGACCCAAAAACCTATATTATGAATAATATTGGTCGAGAAAGCTTACGTGTTAAAATGCTAATCTCTTACATTAACATAGCTAATTTCTCACATCAACATAGCTAATTTCTCACATTAACATCACAAGACCCAGCCACTTCTTTATAACCCTTGGGCTACACCCATTTCAAACCTTTTAAACAGTCTGCATCAGCAGTAGGCCATGCTTTCCCACCTGATGACGGATGCTTGTGTTGCGCCCGAAACGTCGTGATTTATTTTATTTTATTTGTATACCTACGTGACTTTACCGAAAGAACCAACGAGTATAAATGCATTTACTTAAGACAATATCTTGGTAAAATTTTTTTTATCGTACATACAAACGGTAACATTTATCGTACATACAAATTGTAAAATTTTTTTGTAGACCCTAAAGGCTCAGAGCCTATTGTGGCCTATTGGATAATAGGGCCCTGGGTGAAACCACTGCACGGTCCTCCTGTACGTGGACACTCGCCACTCTGGCAGCAGCGATGTTGCTCTGTGCCTTCCCCACTTAAAATAATTTGAGAGTTTACCCGACTCTCTGCCGGTGGTGATTCCGGCTTGTTTGGAACAGCTGGCCCGCTTTCTACAGCCTGATCATCTCACGTCGACGGTTCGAACGCGCCACATACAACGTGACATAATGGGCCCATGTAATAGCTTGGTTAATACAAAAGTTATATGTGTAGTAATGTAAAATGGATCACTAAGGAAATATGGGGACAGAGGTTAGCACACCGTGCAGTACCATAGTGGAGGCATGGTACCGGATGCTAGCAGAAAGAGGCAAAGGAGCCCTACCGATGGAATAGGGAATATCAGCCACTCCGCCAGCGCAGCGAGTTATTGCCGCATAATTGGTCATGAGGAAAGTGGTGAGGGCTGCTGACGAAGATCTGAGGACGAGTCACCCCCGGCTCCGGGTGAAGCACGTGATGGACTGGAGTGAGGGGTAGGGGGAACAGGTGACTGAGGGGACATGGGTAGTGTAGTCGAGAAGCTTCTGGAGAGTTCCTAAGGGGGGCGTGGTTAAGGGCGGAGCCGGGCAGGTAGCATGTGCGAGGTTGTCGGGAACGTTTGAGAAGGGGGGCGTGGCCGAGGGTGGAGCCAGGTCGCGCCGAGAGGGATAAAAGGGGAGCCTCGATCGCATATCGGGGCTGTCCGTGGGTGAAGTGGAACCGAGGTGCTATGTCTACGTCTTCGTCTCCGTCTTCGACATCGTGGGTCAAACAACACGTGGCTGCTCTGATCCAATTATAGTTATCCCATATAGGAAAGAGATAGGTCTATTATAGTCCCGTGGGTAACAAGAGTGAGGGACAGGCGTATTAGTCCCGTGTGCAACGGTGTCGTGCAAAGTGTAGAATAAATGTTGTTGTCTCCTAATAGTGTCTCTGATATGATTCACTACATATGTACAATGATAATAATTGTATCCATAAAAGAGGTTTTTGGGTTAGATCGCGTAAATATATAAATGTGTCGTTAAAACCCACCACCACTTGACACAGCCAACTAGCAAGGGTTGTCATGTAAGCAGAACATGCCAATTCGTCACTAGTACAGCACACCGGTGTGTTTGAGAGCCAAGCCACAACATTTACAAACTGAATACAACATTTCATCAGTAATTACAACTAGCTTCATCAGGCGACAGCCAGATTTGTGAAGAAGTCTTACTGTTTCATTCCTTATACAGAGGCGTAGACTTCTCCACAAATATGCCTGTCTATTTACGCGATCTAACCCAAACACCTCTATTATGGATGATATTAGTTGCGAAAGCCTACGTGTTATAATAATGTAATTTGCGAGTGCAACGCAGCAATGGACCGCGATGCCGGCGCGCAATGGGTCCGACTCCCTTTCGGAGAAGGCCCACCACGGCTTGCCGTGAACTCACACCCGTGGCTCACACCCGACTCACATCCCTGACTCACACCCATGGCTCACACCCGGCCCACACCCGTGACTCACACCTGTGACTAACACCAGTGACTCATACCTGTGACTAACACCCTAAGACTCACATCTGGCCCATACGCATGACTCATACCCATTACTGACACCTGTGACTCACACCCGCCCCACACCTGTGACCTCACACCCGGTACGCGGCAACTGCTGGGGCTCACCATTCTGAGCATGTTGGCGGCGCTGGGCATGACGTTGCGCCGCACCTCGTTGTGCGTTCTCAGGATGACGTCCTGGTTGGATGCGAGCGACCCGTCGTACTCCTCCCAATTGGCCCCAGAGGCCGGCACCAGGTGGACCGCGATTACGAGGGCCAGAACCGCCAGCGCTCCACAGCAGCTCCTGCTGTGAGACGTTTTTTTGTCACTTATTTTTTTTTATGGCCACGAACGCCAGCGAAGCCACGTGAATGTTTCATCATCATCATCGTCAATCATCGTCGATCATCATCATCGTCAATCATCGTCGATCATCATCATCGTCGATCATCATCATCGTCGATCATCATCATCGTCGATCATCTTCAATCAGCAACAGCATCGTTACCAGCCACGATCCAGCCTCCGCTGGGTGAAGGCTTCGCGCCAAACCACCGCCGCAACCTCTCGCCAACCTGCAGATGCCGTAAACCCAGCAAAGGCGCCTCCCGATTAGCGTGGTCGGCTACATGCGGCGTGAAGGAAGTCCAACATCTCCACACGCGGACACTTCATCGGATGCGCATGCAGTGTTTTGTTATTTTTTTGCGCATTAACCGGCCAGCGGGCGTTCGACACTTCACGTGGCCTCAACGTGCACATCGCCTGGCACAAGCGTCGTGTTGACGTCACCGCCACTTAGTGGCGAATTGCTGTTGTTGTTGTGTGTTTGTGTGTGTACGTGTGTATATGTGTGTGAGGAGAGGTAGTTTAGCGGTTAGCACGCTGCTGCGCTCCGAACGTGGCGACCCGGGATCGATTCCCGCTCACGGCCAACAACAGTGATGATTATCTAAACCGGTCTTGGGCCTCCCCTAGGTCAATGCAGCCTAAACTGAATACCTGGTATGGTGCGTAAAAACATTGCCACTACGGAGACAAAGGCGACCGGCCGTGGTGCTGGTCACCCACCCCCTCGTGTGCCGTTTCGGCCTTCAAAGGCGCTCGCTAACAGCGCTTGACCCACCAGTCTGTTAAGACTATACGGGGGATATTTGTCTTTATGTGTCTATTTTTTTTTATATGAGCTCGCCACGAATCACACGCTGTATATATTAACTTTAGATCGCGAAGTTGTTACGGCTCAGCCCGCACTCCACCAGCGCGGTGAAATGCGATTAAAAGGGGGGCCCCTGTCTCCTTCTTCCCCCTGCATCTCACAGCATCTCGCAGCATCTCACGACTAACAAACATCCTGCAAAGAATAAGGCGCTCACCCCCATCCAAGCACTGAGCATAGCTCTCGACTCCGCGTCACTTCGAAATCCGATGTGAACGGGGCGCGATTTGGTTCGTCGGTGTTTACGGTCGCATCGGGTTGCAATACTGCGGCAAATGTAGAATTCGCGTTTGCCCGATGCTGCGCGCGATCGAACCGATAGCGCCTCGGGAAACTGTTAAGATGGATCGATGGCTCTGTTTTGGGAGCAAGGTCGTGTCCGGTCAGCACCTTTGCAGGTGTGGCGAATCGAAGGGAGGCCCCAGAGCGCCGTGACTGCGGGAGAGGCTGGTCAAGCCGTTAGACCGCCAACGTTTGTCGGTCAACCGTGCGCGTTACAAATTCCAAGTTGCTGCTGCTGTTGTTGTAAACCACGACTAAATTAGAAACTGAGCGGATGCACAGCAGAAGTTTTGTGCTCTATAGATCATTGGATTCTTTCTGCTGTCTAAATAACGATTCCGATTCTTTATTCTGACTTGAGTGCCATCCAGCATGGAGTTTGTACGTTCTCATAATGAAAGCCTACGTGTCAAACTGCGTGCGTTCTCTCTCTCTCCTCTCTCCACCGCCTGTTCTGCATGGGTTTCCTCCGGGTTCTCCGGCTGTCCTCTGATCGCTAAAACAAACGATGCAACGGGTATTGGCCAAGCATCTCAATGCAAACAAAAAAATCACCTGCAAACTACTCAGTTTGGATCACACAGCAGCACCAGCATCGCCCCCCTCCTCCCCCTACTGGAAAAGAGTCTTGAGACTCGGTGATGGTTTTGCTGGGTAAACAAGCGGAATAATAATAATTAGTAGTAGTAGTAAACAATCCGAATAATAATTAGTAGTAAACAATCCGAATAATAATATATAATTGGTAGTAAACAAGAAGTACCCTGACGATGGCTAAGACTAACTCGCTGACCCCGTGCCCCTGACTGGACAGAAAAAGAGCTTCATAGCTCGTCGGATTCCTCCTCCTGCTGCTGCGGTCTACATCAAGATTCCGATTATTGAGTTCCCACGGTCAATCACCCGAAGCCGCGGGCGTGGCGCTCGAACGTCGGAGTTGAGATCTCGCGACGTTGCTTGACCGCTCACCGGGGGGCCATCGCTGGCAGCAACGCGATATTTGTAACTTTTCGATCTCGCGACGACGAAAGAAACACGAGTAGTTTTTTTGTTTGTTTACCCTTTCTGGCAGCGAAACGGGAGTTGCGTTAAAGATGTTCAAACACCAAATAGATGCCCTTTCTGCGTGAACCGCACCGCCCCATCGCCTTTGTCTCCCCAGTGGCGAATGTTTTACGCACTGCGCTAGTTGCTCATTCAAGGGCTGAGTCGGAGGCAGTGGAGGCCCAGGACTGGTTCAAGATGATCGCCACCGTTCTCGCTCGCGAGCGACAATCGACCTCGGGTCACCGGATGCGTAGCACAAACCACTGCACCGCCGCGTTCCCACGACTCCACTCTGAGGTCGCCCACTCCGGCTACAAGTCCCGAACCAACTTTTACTTTTAGATTTGCAAAGTGGGAACTGGCAACCTTGTATCACACAGAACACCCACGCCGTACGTTTTGCCTTCTTTTTTTCTCGCCACGAGATGAGTAACACGAAGACAGAGGCGCCGGAAACAACAGCATTGCCCTTTCGGCCAGGGTTTACCCGGGTTAGGTCAAGTCGTGCGAGGCAGGCGGAATAACATCGCACACGTCGAGATGAAATTTTACGCAACGTTGTACGGATGAGTAGGGAAGGGATCCGAGTGAAAGAGCGACCACAACTTCCCTAGCCTCGTCCACCCGGGTTGCAAATGCCCTGCCGATTAGCAATGGTTGGCTACGTACGGTGCGAAAGAAGTTCAACATACATAGACTCACATAGTCACTCACCCACTTACATAGTCATTCACCCCCACACTCATCCATTCTCCGATTAGCACGGTTGGCTACGTACGGTGCGAAAGAAGTTCAACAGACATACATAGACGCACATAGTCACTCACCCACACACTCACCCGTCCTCCGTTTAGCAACGGTTGCCTAACGTACGGCGCGAAAAAAGTCCAACGTGCACACGCCGTGGATGCGACCGCTCCCCCTACCTGACTGCGTCCATTGTCGAGGAGGAGGAGGGAGGGGGTTGGTGCAGGTTCTCGATGGGAGGCAGCAGCAGCAGGAGCAGTCTTGGTGGGTCACCTCTGCGACGGATCGTGTGGGGTTCGCGGCTGCGGTGCGCGCGTTTTATAGAGGCCGCGTGCGGCGTGCGGTCGGTGATCCGTGATTGATTTCTGGGGGCCCGTAGCCAACCCCCAAAACCCAACAACAACAAAAACCCACCGCAACTTTGCTAAAAAAAGCTCAAGGAATGTGACGGACGAAGCCCGCTCGCCCCCACCGTCCCCACCCCCCGGTGTGGGGGAGGCGACCCTCGAGGCTCCCGGGAGACTGTGTGGTGAACATGATCAGCTCATTTACACCGAGCGGGGATCCTTCACCCGGGGGGTATGGGGGGCGGGGTATTTACAAAACTACGGTATCCGTATTAGCATATTTGTTAGCACGAGATGTTAACTACCTCGTCTGGTATGTAGGAAATCGTGGGTTGGATCTCGACCCATGCCGCCTGCTGCTGTATATTTGGTGTTTGCGACTCTTTCTATCTCCGTGGTCGCGTGGATTTTTCTCCGGGTGCTCCTGTTTTTTCCCTCCACATTTCGAATCAATGTGCGTTTTGAGTATTTGGCTGCTATACATTTGCACATGATGACAAGTCACGTCGTTGAGTAATCATTTGTGACCAAGTCGCTTCTGAAAAAGAGCTACATAGATTACCTGGTAAAAAAAATCGATATTGTTCATTGGTTTCCCGGGTAAACAAAGGGCATTAATTATTGCTCACGGGTAGTTGAAGTCCAGCTCTTTGATCTGCACAGTGATAGAGGTCGCCAGAGAGCTTGACTTTTCAGATAATGGCCTGCAGAAGGAGAAATCACGAAACTAATTTTGAGTGAAATCCCATAAAAGTGACATTTTAATACCTCGCATGTTCCCACTTGCCCCGCCTGCAGAGAACCATCTGTCGGTCGGCAAAGGCGCTGATGGATGCCTTCCCATGCCCAACGCTGGAAATCTGCCAAGCGAACGACGTGGGCTCGGGCTAACAATGTTTCATTGTTGCGCTCGTAACACACTCACTCACATCGTTGACCGAAGAGAGAGGACCACTCGGATGCAATGAGGAGGAGCCGCGGACGAGTGGGAAGGTAGCAGCCGGGGCACTCAGCCGGCACTACCGACAATTGCACAAAGGTCTGGGGTCCTCTACGTAGTAAGATGTTTTTCAGCTGATTGATGAGTGCTTTCAAGTTGGGGGGAAAAACAACTCACAGATGCGAGGGGGCAACACGCTATCCCATACAGATGGAAAAGTCATGGGGAGGGGGGTGGAGGGGGGGGGGCGGAGTCCACATTTTGCCATAACTGCCTTCTCTCAGGTGAGCAAAGGGTAACAGACTCCTCCTCGACGCAGACACGGAAGGGGGTTCATGACATCTGTGTAGCGATCCACCAACCCTCGCTGCTGCACCCCCACAGTGCTGGTTCACGGGACCACCACTGTCCATGTTGAGTGATGTCAATACAGGGGCCCACATTTGGGAGTTGCTTGCGCCCCTAAGTTCCAACAAGAACCCTGAGTTTGTGTGTGGACTTGGGTCTCCTCATCCTCGGCATCCCCGAAATGAAGCCCAAGTCCATAGGCAGGCATCTGGGCCTTTGTTGTGGAACTCTCTGGGCCTTCCCGTCTGTGGCACCCGTACTGTTGAAATCTCTGGGTTTTCGCTTCTGTGGCACCCGCCCTGCGGAATTCTCTGCCGAGGGCTGTCAAGGAGTCCGGTTTGGTTGGGTTCTTCAAGTCCATCCGCGTTTACTTTTTTTACTTGGCCACTTCTTATCTAACCTCACCACCCCCATCGTTATTTTTGGTAAAACACCTTGACATGTTATGAAAAGCGCTATTTAAGTTGTTATTCTTATCAGAGTTCTGCTACTTGTATGTGTCCCACGGACTTTAAGAGACATGTCTGAGTGTACGGAAGAGGGAGGTTGAAGTGGTGGCCATCTCTAAAAAAACAGGTGGCCATCTTAGATTTTTAGGTGGGAAACGTTGTTATTAGTATAATATGACCATAGGAGGTCGTTACGTTCCAAAATGTAATGGTTGTATCACGGTTTAAACCAGGGGTCGGCAACCAAAATAACAAGAAGAGCCATTTCTTTCCAATTCGGTACAAAATTCAGTATTTCAAGAGCCGCAATGCATCTGAGTACATACTGTACATACGTACATATCGTCAGGAAGCAGCCCGTAAAGAGCCGCATGCGGCTCCGGAGCCGTAGGTTGCCGACCCCTGGTTTAAACGATTATTCATGTTGTTCGCTCCACCGATAGGATGAGGTGAGAAGGAAAGGGGAAAACTTCGTACTTTTGAATATTGGCAAAGTTGTTAGTTTTGATCTTCAAATTATAGAGGTGATCGTAGTTATGGAGGAATGGATTTCTTAATCCCCCTGGGAACCAGACGGAGAGTTGTAGGATTTAAGTTCATTGGATAGAGTGGGCCAGCTCACACCGAGGATCGCAAACCACTGCCAGTTGAAGATTGTTCGAGTACACACTCCATCAGCGGCAGACCACGATGATGAAGCAGTAGACCAAGAAAGGACATTCAATCACCATGAGGATGGAACGATGAGATCAGCTCGTGCGCACGTGCTGGATAGATAGTTCGGTTCCCAAGATCGTGAGATCACGTGGCTTGGGGAGAGGCCATCATGCAGCAGTGGATTGATCGTGGCTGACATGATGTTTATGCTTCTCTCTTAAGTCATTGGTGACCGGGGCTGAGACAATCAGCTCACTGTACTTGAAAATCCGGTTTAATCCGAGGCTTCTGTCTGGCTTGGAACGGAGGACCTCAATGGTGCCCGGCTCAGCTCTCTGACCTCAGAGCCACCCAGCCACGTGACTATCGCAGTACTCAACATTGACACTGTATCGCACTTCGTGTGGATGAATTCCAGCTCTTGAGAAATTATTGTTTCGGTCTGTCAAGCGGCGGACATTACCGTCACGTGCAGAGTGGGTGGGGGAATGTATCCTCCACTAAGCTGACCAAAGGCCCCTTAAGGAAGGGATTTTAGAGGTAGCTCTGTGATATCTGCTTCCATGGGCCATTCCTCAACGGAAAGGGTTGCACTGCTGCTGTGTGAGAGATCCGAATGGAAAAATCACAGGAACTTATTATTACACTTGATTGCCCAGGAAAGCCTTAGTGAGTCTCAAGACTTTTAAGGACGGTCCTGTCCAGTTTTCTCAGTAGGGGGGGGGGGGGGATGTTGCTCTGTGTGTAATCGCAATTGAATAGTTTGCAGATCATTTGTTTTCCAGCATTGGGTTGTTTGGCCAATAGCAGTTACAACTGAGTGTATATTTTTAGCTATGGAGCTATGGGGGGGGGGGGCGATGGGCTGGAGAACCTCTGAAAAACCCTGTTCTCCACCTTTTCACTTTACAAGTCTCATTTCGTAAAGCACCGCACTGAATTCTGGGTAAAAAAATATTTCCTCATCGCACATTTTACGAGCGCACCTCAGGCAGCGTTCGGCATCTTGTTGACTCTTTCATCCGCGAATATCAACTTTGTAATTGAAACAATGGCTCTATCAAGTGGCACCGCGTACCGAATAATTCCAATTATGCGGAGCACCGCCGTGTAATTGGCGACTTGACTGCCGACGCTTGCGCAAAACTGCGCCAAACGTGAGGTGGCCGCGGCAACGCCCATGCGGTGACAGAGGCCAGGGCATTTTTTGGGCGAGGTTCGCGTTTGTCGTGGGAAAAAAGAACAAAACACGAGAAGAGAGACGTTGAGCTTGGCGCCGCGATCGAGGGGCATCTGACGTGATAGAGGGGGGAAATAATAATAAGAATATTTATTTTTGCAAATTTTTACTTAACAAATCTAACGAACCTTTAGGAGTAGGGTGAGGTGAGGGTGGGCACAAGCGAGAGACTTTGAGCGCGCGAGCGAGTCGGGACTTTGAGCGAGGAGCCATGGGGGTTTCTCCCCATGCAATGTCACGATTAACACGCTTTGGTTACGTACGGTGCGAAAGAAGTTCAACATAAAAAAGATTTTTAAAAAAATTATGCTACCAGGTGTGAGCCACCACTGGGGATATGGAGCTCTTTTTCATAAGCGACCTGGCTGTCAATAATAATAGCTCAACGAAGTGGCTTATCATCAGCATCACATGGAAATGTATTGCAGCCAAGTAACTCTAAACGCGTGATGTCGATTCTAAATGTGGAGGGAAAACCGGAGGACCCGAAGAAAAATCCACGCTACCATGGAGAGATACATCGCAAACTCACTCCAAATATCAACAGCAGCAGGCGTCAGGGTCGGGATCGAACCCACGACCTCCTTCATACCACGCGAGGTAGTTAACATCTCCTGGCCACCGTGCCGCCCATATGCACACACGACATGGGGCAGAAGCAGGGGGTGTGTGGTCGGGTCAAGCTATTGTGGAGTGTAGGTCAAATACGCTCTACAGGCGCCGAGGACAGCTCCTTCTCGTGAAGGCCCCTTCTGCCAGCAGTTGCACGAGCCGGCAGTTTGCAGGGCTGCACCTTGACCTGTGGCCATAAGGAGGCTGCTAGACCTTGCCTGCGAGGATCATTCCTCGCTTGAAGACAGCACCTCTGCCTCCCATTGTTCCATGCCACCGCGATCGGCAGGCGTTGGTTGATCCACCGTTCTCGCACATTCGTTGACCCCCTCCCCCTCACAGCGCATGACCATTGCCAACCGTAGACCGACTTGCGGGGAAGCCATTCGCGCTGCTGGGTGGACAGGAGGAGGAGGCGGCGGCGAGGAGGTTGTGTTTAATAAACTTGCCGCGTTTTTCCACCACCGTGCCGAGAGAGACGGAGTCGGACCGGAGGCCTCTGGGGGGGGGGGGGGGGGGGGGGGGGTCGCGAATCCAGCGCCACGATGCCACTACCGCAGCAGTAACACATAAGTGTACGATTTTTTTACCGCGGGATTTTAGCATTTTTTAGTGGTCAGGATTATAATTGCCTGACAATTAAATATTCGCGGATTGACATAGTCATGCGATGATTGACATGAGCATTAATATATATGTAATATGACCTTCAACACAATGGAATATAATCTTCACGCTACACCTGAAGTATAAACTTTCTTGCTTCAAGC